TAGGAGGACTTTATTTTCTTTGCTTAATTTGTTGAGCTTCTCCAGGCATTCTTTGACCAACTTCGAATTGATGGTTACTGAGTTGATCGCGTTAAGTGCTGCTTGACTATCGGATAGGATGGCAATTTTCTGTTTTCGATAGTTCCTATCTAAGATAAATTGTACGCATCTTTCGATAGCGCAAATTTCTGCCTGAAGGATACTGGGGTAGGTGCCCATTGGTTCGGAGTATTCAGTTTTCGGCCCAAATACTCCTATCCCTGTCCCTGCTTTGGTTTTGGAAGCATCCGTATACCACATGATGGTATGGTCTTTTATATGCTGAGTAAGCGTCTCTTTCTTCCAATCCTTTTTATTACTCAATACTACAGTGAGGTGTTTCTCAAAGTTGTAAATTCTTGGTATGTCATCCACTGGGAGTTTTGGAATGAAGTGGAATTTTCTTTTTGAGGGTGTTCCAAGACCCTGACCTGAAAATTCTCCCAGTACTGTTTCCGTCAGTAACCATTCTAATCATTGTCGCATTGGCATAACTACCAACGACAATGTGCAGTGGTGTTAGGTCTAGAATGACCTCCATTGCTGCTGTTGGACATGTTCTCATGGCACCTGTGATGCAGATACATGCCAGTCTCTGTACTTTGCACAGGTTTTTCTTTCATGGTTATTCCCAGCGTATTTCATTCCATCAAGGGTTTATACGACCTGCAATTTCCTTATAATGTTCGTTTCAAATGGCCAGCTTTTTGTCCAAATCAAGGATTTTTGCTTTCAAACCGTTCTTTTTTACTCTTTTTTACCGGGTGCGTCTCAAATAGGGCTCAACTCTATGACTTTTTTATTTTGTCAGTTAAAAAAGCGAAATTTTGTTATGGTACATGATATAAATAAGGATTGATTGACGTATTAAATTATTTTCGATCCCTTCCTGTTTCACCGGAAATGACTACAACTGTTCAGTTTTAAATGACACCCACGGTATTTTTTATTTGATTGAAAGTGACACCCTAAATAGAATGACGTATTATATGTCAACTTTTAACAATGAATTAACATTTTTACATATGATTTATTTGAAATTGTAACATGCGACTCATAACGACAATTTGACTCGAAATACCAAGTGTGTGGTACCAAATTATTCGCAAAAAATGCTTTTCCAAATAATATGCTAATGAGCCACCCTCGTTGCATTTGAAAAAACTGAGATATGATTAACGAGGCACTAAAAACATTAGACGATCAAATATATTTTTTCAAGGCTCCTTCATTAAAAATTAGTGTTTTTAACAGTCATGGCACTCCAGATTGAAATTTAAAATACAATTTTTTATTAAGCGAGAATGTCAAAAGTTGACATATGATATGTCATTCTCTATCGAATGTCATTTTCTATCGAATAAAGTAAAAACATACCGAGGGTGCTATTTAAAAATCAAAAGTTGTAAGTAGTCATTTCCGGTGAAACAGGAAGTGGCCAAAAACAATTTAATACGTCCATCAATCCTAATTTATGTTGTACACTAACATACCAAATCTCGTTTTTTTATCTGAAAAAATAAAAAAGTTATAGAGGTGAGCCACTTTTGAGAAGCACCCAGTATATGTAATTTAATTTAGATTCCTTCTATTGAAGTCAATGCAAAATTAATAAGTAATAAGTAGTATAGTAGGTCAGTTCCACTAAAAAATCAAATATTTTTTATGTATATTAATGGAGGTGAATGTATACAGTATTTCAATGAAACATATATCACATTCTTTCCTTTTCAAAATTCCATACACGCAAAAAACAATATAATTATCATAATACAGTTTATTACAAACTTCGCAGTTAATTTTATCTAAATAGTATGATTTATTTCAATCACATTTTCCGTTTAGCGTTTTATCCTCCAGTTCTTTAATGTTTATTGATTAATGTAGAATAACCACTCCTACAGAATACCAAAGCAATCACGCATTATGAAAGAAACGGTGGTATTGAGCAAGATCTAATTACTTCTTACGTGCGAAATATATTTATACCCACATCTGCATAATATTCCTTAGGTATTTATAAACTTAAACTTCCAATAAACATAATAAGTGACATTGAAAATGCAACAATTATGAAGAATGCTTGTGTCCCCCTTATTAAGTTATAACTCATCATAGTCTTAGGGATTGATTGACAAAAGCCAATATATGAAACGGTTTTACAGAGGTTATTTCTCCATCTCCGATATCAGGCGTACCAAAGTTTGTGGCACGAATAGTTGTCGTCTCGGCGCACTCAGTGATGAGGGGTTTCCTCATTTTCGCGATGCATCCAACGCCCCAATACTTAAAACAGTTCTTAAAACATGCACGTAGGATGCATCGCGGCGAGCATCGCATCCAGATGCCTCACTATGTAGGTACCCTTAGACCCCGTTGGAGGATTTCCATTCCAGATTACGATGGAGTCTACCAGGTTCTTGAGTTGCCGTCGGTACTTTGAGGTGAAGGTATCACAAGATGAGGACGGTACGAAAACAGCCAGAAATATTTTATTTAACGATAAACGGTCCTCATTGATGTTGCTCGTCCTACAACATCAAATCACTGGTTCATCTACCCTTGTTGTGGAAAATCGATCCCTGAGAGCTAGGAACCATCGTCGTCAAGTACCTCTGTTACCTCTAGTTCGGCCTTCTTGAAACCACACTCGACAACATCTCATAACAATCACTTCGTTTAGATTTACCCGATTAGCAGTTAGTACTATACCGGGTGCATCTCAAAAGTGGCTCACCCCTATAACTTTTTTTATTTTTTCAGAAAAAGAAACGAGATTTTTTATGTTCGTATATGACATAAATTAGGATTGATTGGCGTATTCAATTGTTTTTGTTCACTCCCTGTTTCACCGGAAATGATTTTATTTGATAGAAAATAATATTCTGAATAGAATGACATACCCAAGTAGCATCTATCTGACTTCGAACTAAATCTGACCTGAAGCGACGTCAGACTTTGTGCAAATTTAGGTCGGGTGCTGGTGATACGACTGGTGACGTTGCTTTCCTATTAAAAGCGACGTCGTTGGATCCGAGTCGGTAAATCCAACGATCTGTCGACGTAGAAAATAACAACGTACCATTTTTATTAATTTCCCTGCACGACGTACCTATACTTGAACTAGCCCAACGTCTACCCGTTGTCCGAATAGGATACGTCTTACTGATAATCCCTAAAGTAACGTCCAATTATATTTTGTTGTATTTTATGTTCATATATTTAACCTAATTTACGTATCTCTATTTACGTCCGTAAATACAACCCATTAAGTAGCATTTGCGGCCTAATAAACATCATGAACATAACCTAATAAAAAGTTTTTGTAAACAAACTTAATTTTTTTTATTATGCCTAAAAAAACACTAAAAAGGCATTTAGACATTCATCTACATTTTCGGTAAAGAGGTCGAGGCTTTTGCAAAATAATAATAGTAGTAGTGATGTCTTCCCCCCACCCATGAATGCTTTTTATCCGGAAGAGATATTATTTATCCGGAAGAGATATATTACACTGGTGCATCTTAATTTCATTTTTTAGCTTAGGAAACCAGCAGACCCTATCCTCCTCCCACATGTGAGGTACTGGTTCCAATTCTTTTAAATTTCGTATATACTATCTTAAAAAAGTGGCTGCCCATTGTTTTAAAGAGAAAACAAAAACTAACATATAGTTGCACAAATCCACAAATCACTGATACGCAAAGTGAGGTTACGTGGCGTACGTTGGAATTATATACGTCATAATACGATTGCCGGTCGTCCGGTTTGATGACTTCGGTCGTGTGAGACGACTAATGTTGGAGACCCGGTCGGAATTGGTATATTGGTAGTTCATATTAAGTCGGACACAGAAATCCGCCATTCTTAACAGGTATCCGATTGTCAGCCATTTTAAAATCGTTTTTTTTTAAATTTATATTCACATTCCGATTTCTAGTAGAATAATATTGATAAGGTTGAATTTGGGGGGAACCACAGTACAGTTTTATGATTAAACCAGCTAGAAAATAAAAAAAATATTTTGCAAGTTACTTTTTTATAGATATTTTTATTTCATAAATCTACCTACTTTTGAAGGCGCTCGTTGTTTTCCGGAGTATTTTAAACAGATATATCAAAAAAGTGACTTCCGTTGACAAAACTGATGTCTGGATTAATGATTCAGAATTATTATAATATGAAATTAGGTAGGCACTTATAGTTCTATTCGAGGAGTGATTATGAATACATTTGTAATTAGGTAGTTTGGTTAGGTTTTTATGTATTCTTGGTAGCGAATATGAAACCAAACGTAACGTAAGTGCTTAGCGACGAATTTTAAGTAACTAAAATCCAACGTAATATGACGTTGGTAATTGGTAGAATTACATTCCCTATTAGGTCAGATACCGACGTCGAGGCGACCCGAATCTGTATTTCCCATTTAGGTGCAAATAAGGGTCGTCAGGCGGTCGAACCGACGTTGGTACCCGACGTCGGGTTTATTGAACGCGACGTATACCCGACGTTAGATAACGTCCAAATGCTACTTGGGTATTATATGTCAACTTTTGACATTCGCACTTAATAAAAAATCGTATTTTAAATTTCAATCTAGAGTGCCACGGCTATGTTAAAAACACTAATTTTTAATCAAGGAGCCTTGGAAAATTAGATTTTATCGTTTAATGTTCTTAGTGTCTTGTCCTGGCCGGTTAAAAGATGCTCAAATCGTATTTTTACTCATATCTCAATTTTTTCAAATAGAACAAATTGGCATATTCGGAAATAGCATTTTTTTTATAATTCGTAAAAAAGTATTTTTTTAAAAAAAGTTATAGGACACTTTTGAGACGCACCCGGTATATAATTCATAAAAAAAACTGTATAACTCGACAACTACCTATAGAGCTATGTCTATATAACGCGTAACTCTATAAAATTAGTAAACCCTTTTTTAAAATAATGTACAATTTTAGGAATTCTGCCAGAAGCTTTACAAACAAACTGTGCCAGATGCACGGAAAAACAGAGAACTGTAGCTCTACGTGCCATCAAAAGATTGCAGAAGGAGTATCCAAAAGTGTGGAACGATTTATCAAAACAATGGGATCCAGATGACATCTACGTAAAGAGATTCCAGAGAACTTTCGCCGAGGGCTCCAATTCAGAAAAACCCAGCCACAGTGTTGCGAGTTCTGTAGATAACAGGTAATAATATAATCATTTACACCGAAAAATATAATTTTTCAATTCTGAATTATGTCCTTATGAATTATTATATATGTATGTCTTTGATGGGATCTCGTTTTTTCTGTAGGGTAGTCTCTTTTTTCTCAGGTAAAATATCATTCAATGTAGGTAATATAATTAAGTAAACCTTTCAATCGTCAAACTAACATAGCAATCCAAATTATCAAGCAAAAATCGTAAACGTATAGGTGATCAGATATGACAGCTCACTGAAAAATTTACAACTCAAATCAAGTTCATGTCAAATTAAAGACATCCAAAAAGAAATTAGAAAGAAGACATTCAAATCAAATTAAAAAAAATAAAATAACAAAAAATCACAAGGTAATCAAAACTCATTTTGGCAACTTTGTATCGACTGTTTCGTTTTTCAAATCGTTTTTCAAACACTAAATGACATTTAAAATATAAAAAATGTAAAATTGTAAAATTGAGAGTTCTAGAAGTACCTTAGAATTTTGATGTTCGGTGAGTTGTTCACTGTCGATATTGAATTATATTTTACTGACAATAATTTATAAATTATGAGGTATAATTATTAGATATTTGGAGATATATAGCCAGTTTTATTTTGTTCTCTTGATCAGTAAAAATTAAAATTCTAAAAACCCAGGATAATTAATAACTACACAAATAAATAACAATCTTATGTCATACCCTGCAAAATAAATATTAAACGAAGTTTTTAAACAGAATCATAATGCACATTAAGTAGAATATATCTGATTAATATTATAATTTTTACAGATTTAAGATTAAGCTAATTATTTCTTTATTCAAGACTTCTCATTCATGACAAAAATACGAAACAATGCTATCAAATGCATTAATCATCTTTAATAAACAAAATAAACAAACGTAAATCTCAACCTTGATCTTTGCCAATAATCCTGTGACATATCCCAAAGCATTCCGAATATATTAACGTACAATATATTACGGTAATATTCCATAGATTTTATTAAAAAACATCCTGAAAGACTAGAAGCACGTATGTATTGTTACGGCAGGCATTGAATTAACATAAAATAGGTAGTTCAGAATATAAAATAAATTTTAATTAGTATTTTTTTCTATAAGGAATTTAAGTTTAAAGTTAATAAAAATTTTGAAATACCACTGTTTCTACTAATCATAATGTCTAGAAAAAAGTTAGACAGAGGTTTTCTGTTTCTCAATGGTTAATTTATGACACTCCACGGCCTTGACACGACATGACCTTGACCATGCTCTTTGACCTAGCGAGACAAAAAAGTGGTAAGGATCGCGCAAACACCAAAAAACATGTGATTTAAAGCTAAGAAAAACATTATAATAAACTTGATACTGTTACCTGGGTACCAATATCCTCTGGTTAGGAGGTAAATTTTCATGCATATTTTTATGGATAGGTTTGTACAACTTAACAAGTATAGCTAGAGACGTGAGAAATGCTATGAATGCTATGAATGAAATGCGACCGGTGCTATCCTCAAGTCTCTTCCTATATTTTTTGTACAACTGTAGCTTGTGAATAAAGGTCTAGATATAGCTATATAATAAAATTATATAAGAGTTTCTTGCCTTGAACTGCTAATATAGAAATTAATTCCACGCTGTGCTCGTCATAATGTGGATCAACCTGCTCTCACTATCGGTTTCGGGGCCTTACCCCATCATCAGGTGAGCTTGGGTATTTCCACAAAACCTGATGATGGGGTAGGGCCCCGAAACCGGTAGTGAGAGCAGGTTGATCCACATTATGACGAGCACAGCGTGGAATTAATTTCTATATTAGCAGTTCAAGGCAAGAAACTCTTATATAATTTTATTATATACCTAAAAACTGCAAGAAATTTATTTTCAATTATATAGATATAGCTATAACAGGTGCATGCGAAAACTACTCGCTTTATGACGTCATTGTAGCCCTTGTCATGGTTAATAGTCCTTATCCGGCAACCAATAATACACACACGTGCATTATTAGTTGCCGAATATAAAACGTTCATTATTTATTTATTTATTTAAACACCTTATATGTATGCAGTATAGAAAATTAACTGTATAAATCCTATTAAATACTCGGATAATGCATTTTTAAGAACAGCAGTTCCCAGCATCACCTTTTGCAAGCATTCTTTTTAGAGTACTTCCATATTTTGCTTTAAAATAATTAAGAAACAAAATCGTGGGCACTTAGTATGCACTTTGTCACCAATCCACAACACAAAATGAACGTATTTATACACTCTATAACTCTAAAAACTTTAAAGACACCTTTTTCACATTTAAAATTGACAAAATAATTAACTCAAAATTTCTCAGCTGTTATTTTTATAAGTTTACCATAGGCAACTAATAATACACACTATCATGACAAGGCCACGAAGGCTTTGACAAGGGCTACAATGACGTCACAACTGCCAGCTGAAGCGCGGGAAGAGGCGAACGTACGTCTTATGAGGATGAGCAATCTTATTAGTTTACCGTTCTTAAGATCAAACCATTGCTTATCCCCGTCACATCTCTATAAAATCAGAATTAATAGAGATAATTTGTGTCAGTGTCGAGAGGTTGCTGATGTCTTTCATTTGATAATTGCTTATCCACATAATTATAATCACCAAAAAATCTTATACGACAATGAGATAGAGCAAAAACCGATTTCCCTGCATGACATCCTTTTTAAATTCAACAAGACAGAACACATAAAACAAACCGCTTTGTTTTTGAATGTTAGTAATTTAAAACTCTAAATATTTACTAATAACAAGCCTAACATTAACTTTATAATCAAGAAAAAAAAACTAGCCGCAAATTGAAAATGTCATAATCACATTTTCTTGAAATGCACAGTAATTATTGGGACTAAAAGATCGCGCACACTATACCTACACGGACCAGTACGGACCAGCACAGCACAAACCTGCATCCTGCATGACGTCGCACACTTTACCGCCACAGACCAGCAACATAAGCGAGAGTTTCGAAAAAAGTACAGTTGTCAAGGCTCAACTACTAGAGCGTGCAACATAGAAGTATTGAAAATGAGTGGTTCAGAGGAAGAAATGATTATTTTAGCCATGTTGTGTGAAGAAGAGGAGGAAGAGAAGGAAGCTAAGAAAAAAAGAAGATTTTGGGTTCACCCTATAAATCAAAAGAGAAAGCAATATGGCGAATTTCATCATATGTTTCCTGAATTAAAAAGATTCGAAGAAAAGTTTTTCCAATATTTTCGAATGTCACAAATCAAATTTGATTATTTTTTTTTGCTATCGACTCCCCATATTGCATCTTTTCTTTCTTGGTCTATATAATATAAAATGCTTGGCTCGTATCGCACAGCTCTGGATACTTTAGTACCAGTAAAATAAGCTTTTCTTCATTCATATTTAAAACGATTTAAAGGTTCGAACAAAATAAACGAAATTTAACCTACATCATGCGACTTGAGCCAGCTAGCGTACTCGAAATACTGACGAACCCTTCAATATTTGCATGTTTGTGGAGGTGTGCTGGTTCGCCGGTGCGCACATTAGGTTGGACCAGCACGACCAGGCATAAATATTGCCGGTCATATTTGTCCATGACCGACACGACCTGTTTTGACGGTCGTGGCTTGTGGCGGTACGTGCTGGTACTGGTCTAGTGTGCTCTACTCTATTAAATAACACGGTCACCTTCACCGGTAGATTTTACTGGTCTGGTCCGTGCCGGTCCGTGTAGGTATAGTGTGCGCGATCTTTAAGAGCTGCAGCTGCAATCGTAGAATGCATGCATAACTGAATAGTTGCAGAGCTTAAAGCAACCTGTTTAATAGCCTCAATAATTGTTAGTCGTTAAGAAAGATAAATCGGTGAAAGTTCATAAAACGTGACCACCCAAAAAAAAAGAAAAAAGAAAAGCAGAAAAGTACTTTGCCAGAATGGTCCTGGCAGCCTAGGCAACGCAACTCTCTCCTGAAAAGGAGAGTTTGAAAAGAAAGAAGAAGAAGAAGAAAAATGAATTTGAAGGTGACATACCTATTTGTTATTCTGATCAGGACCGGATTATTTTTTCAATTAAATTAGTAATTTTTATCTTTTATAACTCGAAAAGGAATTCAAAGAAGCCTTCTGGTACTTGTTTTATTTGTATATTGTAGGTTACTACAAATAATTTTTTCTGTAAAATAAAATGGGTGTTATAAAAGTCAATGAAAGTCCAAAATTCGTTAGTTATCAATACCGAATCACTTACTACATTCAAAGGAATATTATTAAGACATTTTTTCTTTTAGGTTTCCTTCTCCAGATGACCACCAAACCGACAACACAATCGACGGAACCTTCTCTCCAGTCTCAAGCATCGCATCAACAACATCAACCGCACAGAAACCACCTACGTCATCGATAAAAGACGCCTCACTATTACCTTCATCTGTCTCCACAGAAAAATCAACGACAACTTTCAAATCAACCACCACAAATCTTCCATCACCATCTCCTAGCACACCACCACCCAGCAATCCTTCATCGATCAGCAGCAGTACTTACACAACGAGCGAGAGGGAACCACCAGAGTTCATCCCAGGACTCGTACCGCTTAACACGTTCTTTACTAACCCACCCATACCCATCAGGCCCATAGCCAATATTAACTCGAACATTCAGGCCACGGTGAGTGGATTGGTCAGGGGCTTAGGGGCTATAGGCAGTAGGGTTATAGAGACAGGGGCTGAGGTTGCTGAAGTGGTGTTTAAGAGCTTGAGCAGGCCTCTTAACGTTTAATCTTTTTTTGGAGAGCTTTTGAGATGACTATGATATAGATTTGATATAATTAAGCAGTGAACGAAATTCCATTTTTGTTTTGAAAATACCGTATGATCGAGAAAAAACGGCGTCAGCGATGGCCATAGGCGCCGGAAGAATGAAATTTAGGGGGGGGGGGGGTAAAAATGAATAAAAAATTGACATTTTTGGTAATTATTGGGAAAACTGGAAATCGTCCGATTTTCACCAAAATTGCTATACACCCTATTTTGAAGTCGTAGATTACGAATCTGAACTGTTTTCTGGGCAGTCTCTTATCGTTTTTCAGAAAAACGGAAAATAATTTCATTATCGAATTTTTCTTCATTTTTCTCATATTTTTAAGGTTTTCTAGCACACATTTTGTTAGGTATTCAATAATCAATAATGTTTTTGCTATTTTCTGTTACTTTTTTAACCAATTCTATGCATAATAGAGGAAAATTTGCTAAAATAAATTTGTAAACAATCTGAAAATGTTAGGTTATAGCTTTGTTCGGGTTCTTGTTATTACCGATTCTGAACCGTCCAAGAACTCTGCAGCGCATGCGCAAATGAAATAATGTCTTCATATTTCCTTCTGCGCATACGCATCACAGTTCTAGGACGGTTCAGAATCGGTAATAAGAGAAACCCGAAGTAAGTTTATGTGTTTCTGGCATTTAAAGCAACGTTGCCAATGCTAAACCTAAATTTAGCGTGTTTTTTTCGCTCATTCTGGAATTACGAAAGGCGGTCGCCAGAAGAACGGCTCCTTCCCATAACTGCTATTTTACCAACGAGATCTGACTATTTATACCCACGAAGTTGCACGAAAGAGTTTTGATTGCATTGGTTACAACTTCCATGCAGAGGGTGTTAATCTTTTGTTGTTATATTATTAGATTAACTAAAAAAAGATTAACCCCCTCCGCAAAGAAGTTAAAACCAATGCAATCAAAACTCTTCCGCGTAATTTTGTGGATATAGGTGTATATTTAATTATTGTCGATCTCATAATAGGTAATTTATTTAAAATCCCTAATCACCCGAAAAAATAGAAGATATGGCAACGTTGTAAATTTTCAAATTTCTAGATTAGGTCTAGAATATATTTGTCTCTCTTATTACATAGGAGAGAGAAAGAAGGATATATCAAATGTCAAACTTCCATCTGGTCTCAATTTTCTTTGCTATTTTGTTAAGAAAAGTGTTTTTCAGTAAAATGTTGGACACTTTTCTATCCCCAATCAAGTGTGGCTTTTAGATAAACTTAATATAATGAAAATATAGTGAAATTATTACTTTATAGGGCCGAAATAAAGAAAAATTCAATGTTGAAATAATTTTCCGTTTTTCTGAAAAACGGTAAGAGACCGCCAAGAAAAAAGTAGATTCGTAATCTACGACCTCAAAATAGTGTGTATATCAATTTTGGTGAAAATCGGACGATTTCCAGTTATCCCAATAATTACCACATTTTTTATTATTTTACAGGTAACACCTAACAATTTCATAATAATGATTATTTTTTTACAGATGGATGTAAGAAGATATAGCTTTTATTTTTATTGTTTCAGTGATCCAGGGGAGGGCAAATGCCCCCTCTTGCCCCCCCTGTCCGGCGCCCATGGCGATGGCTATGAAATGAAGATCGCTGTCATTTTATATGTAAATTTATATGGGAAATGTCATCGATCGTCATTTCCCAGCCAACTGGACGCCGTTTTTTTTCGATCATACGGTATTTAAGTATGATTGTCGAGTAATACAAAACGAAAAAACCTTGGGCAAGGCATATTGTCAGCAAATAGTTATACATTTAGATATTTTAATAGTATATTGTTTTATTAGGAGTAAAAATTATACTTTTTGTGGTGACGTTGTACGTTTGGCATTACAATCTAAGCACAAAAATACAGGGTGGGTCAAATTCGACGCTTTTAAATGGAAACACCCTTTTCTATAGGAGATAGACAAAAACTAATATCGGTGTTTGGAGCTCAATTTTTGTCATAAACATGATGATGAAAACCGCATATCGATATCTGTTACCGTTACGAGTTACGGGGTGTTTTTCAAAAATATGCATTTTTAACAAATCGCTGTAACTTTTTTGCTATGGAAAAGTTTGTATTTTTATGAAAACATTTCCAAAGCACCTTTTTACGTAGAATTTAATGGTTTAAGTATAATTTTTTTAAAATTAATAATTTAAGAATTATCAACAGAAAATTTGATTTTTTATATAGGACACCCTGTATATTTTTAATTTATTGAAAATAATTTAAAATTACCTTTCTAAAAATATAACACACTTGATATTTTGCTCAATTCCTCTTCGAGATATAGTGTATATAAAAATTCGCCCGCTTTAAATAAGTAGGCTTTGAACGGCACCGGCTGTAATGCAAAATAATTCTAGCTGTGAGCATCAATTAAAACGAAAATAATATTTGCTATGAGAGATTCAGAATTTTATAACTATTTAAAATATATTTAACCAACATCAACACATTTAAACTATATCTAATAACAATAAAAATAAATAGCAAACCAAGACATGAGATTTTGCTACAGGTGTTCGACAAATCGTCCGTCTTCTATGGACAGACGGGGCAGTTTTTCAACATTTCTCGCGGAATTCATTAACTCAGTGGGGGTGAAAGATATCCTCTCATAACTGCAGTTAATATATCCATAGGATTAGATCCATGGGCACTAAGTCAGGCGGCCTCGACGGCCAACAGCCGGGATCTTGGTTAGCTATTCAATTATTCTTGAAATTGGCTGCAAGAATTTGCTAATAACTTCAGCGTTCAGAGGCGGTGCGTCGTCTTGCTGGAAAAATATGTTTTCGAGTTCCATTAAGGGCATATCATCAATAAGGGGTCCAAAGCCTACTAGTTAAAAGTGGCGAACTTTTAAGAATTCTATATTTCGAAGGGGATTATAACAAAATATCAAGTGTGCTATATTTTTGGAAAGGTAATTTTAAATTCTTTTCAGTTAATTAATAATATAGAAGGTGTCCCAAATAAAAAATCAATTTTTCTGTTGATAACTCCTAAATTATTAATTTTAAAAAAATTATACTCAAACCATTAAATTCTACGTAAAAGATGCTTTGGAAATGTTTTCATAGAAATACAAAATTTTCCATAGCAAAAAAGTTACAGCGATTTGTTAAAAATGCATATTCATCATGATTTTGATGAAAATTGAGATGATGATATTAGTTTTTGTCTATCTCCTATAGAAAAGGGTGTTTCCGTTTAAAAGCCTCGAATTTGACCCACCCCGTACATTTTTACTACGAATAGAACATGCTATTTTTTAAACGCCAGAAATAATTTTTTAAACAATTTTGAATCTCGCACATAATATAAAAAGTAATACATTGTAAGTAATATTATCTGCCGCAACAATGGCACCTGTGAATGGCACTCGTTGAAATTTACACTTTTGACAGTTTAATAGTATTTTTTTTCAAACGTCACAAAAGTTATAATTTTTGCGACGTGATTGACAATATAAAAAAGTAATTTTAACGCCTAGGCATAAAAGTAAAGCACTTTTATTGAGGCATAAAAGTACGAAAATATATTCAAACGTATGGTCACGTCACAAAAAGTGTCATTTTTACTACTAATAAAAAAATATACTATTTTTTTCAGAGGTCACAAAAATATTAATTTTTACGACGCGACATTTGAAAAAAAGAGCATGTTCTATTCGGAGTAAAAACACCTTTTTGTACCTCAATTGTAATGTCAAACGTACAGCTTCGCCAGAAAAAGTATCACTTTTACTCCTAATAAAACAATATATTATACTACTCCTGCTTATTTGTGTTTATTTCTGATCATATGCCATAAAAGTAAAATTCGTAATATTTGCAAAAAAAATATGTGTAAAAAATGTGATATGATTTTTGAGTTATTTTTGAGTATAAAGTGACAAACAATTTCAAGTAATTTTAAGAATGGTATGTGATTGTTTCATTCATTCTCTTTCATAGAGATTTAGAGAGCTTAATCTTTGCCATATTTTAAATTCCAAATTCAAGTAGAATAATTTCCAGCACAGTAATTTATTTGCTTTTTGCTACTGCACATCAAATCATTTGATTGCTTCTACTTCTATAGTAGTTAGTCATTAAAGTTATTAAAACATAAACAGAAAAAAATTAATAATATTTATTCTAGTATCTGTAATATCTGCTTTATTTTAGATATTAAGTATTTTTTAAATAGATATTAGATTTTTTAATTTTATTTTAATTAAAAAAAATTTCTAAATTTAAAATATTGTGCCATAATTTCAAAATCAAAATTAAATTATAAATACATGACTATGTTATTTTTTCTGTTTTTTTTTCTAAATAGTTTGTAATGTATGTTGCGAAATATTTTATATACATTTAAATGGTACAAAAAGGAAAAAATAAACTCATAATTTGGAAATATAACAATAATTAAAATTAAAAAAATGTAAATATATTTATATGTTTAAATCCCTCTGTATAGGAAATACGTACTATACAAAAAAAATAATATATTTAAAAAAAAGTTATCTATAGATATAAAAAAATATAAGAAAAACCCAGTGGACCTCAAACATTTGCAGCAAAAAATCTGGAAAATTCTTCAAGGAGAGCATGTTCTGTTACTATTCGAAATGAAATAAAATTTAATAATTGTAAGAGAGACGTATTGGAATGTTTAGTTCGCTAAATCAATTTGGTATTACCTATATACCTATACCCATACTTGTATTAAAAATATCGAAGGTAAATGTATAGCTGAATCTTGAACATTAATTATTGATGGAACCACAGACAGTTTCAAGCCATACAGATTAAATTATGTAGTATTAATACAAAAATATAACCGTGCATAGAAAAATTATTAAATATAAAAATTTTGGTTAATATTTATCTATAATAATGATATATAATTTTTATATTTAATTATTTGGAAGCTATTTGTATATATCATGCATATATTTTGGATTGGTTTGGTTAGGAGAGATTGAAAAGAAATAAGTATAAGTAAATAGCTATTTATTTATACTTATCTTTTCTTATGTGGTTGCTTCTTCACCATATTATCATGTTCATCATTGTCATCTGTTTGGTGTCATTTTAGGTGAAGGCAATAAAAAAAGTTGAACGATTGGTGACAGAAATAGCAATGGAGAAGCTGAATTTGGTGAAAAATGTGTTCACGAGACCGTGGAGAAGAATAAGAAAATTTACCTGATGATACTATGATATTATCAAAAACGTGATATTTGTTTATATTAACAAACATTGGATTATCAACAAAGATCTAAACAAAATCAAGGAACATGAAACAGAATTAAAAGATAAAAAGATATTTTAACACTTAATTGTACCTATACCAGATTCTCGAAAACTGTTTCTTATAGGTATTCCTGTAAACGATGTTAATAACAAGAGAAAATAATGCATTATTGAAACTCGGGACTCGAAAGTATTAAAAAAATAGATTCAGAATCAATCTTGAAATATTTAGATAATAAATTTGATGTAAATTGTAATCGAAGTTGTAAAACGATTGTAAAAATATATATTTCTTTATTTGTATTTAGAATTATATTAGTATGTTAAGCATTTTTTTTAATAAAATACCCCATAAAAAATTAAATATTATAGAAATATTTGTACAAATTTTAATGAAAAATCGACATAAAATATTAAAACACATTTTAAAATTCATTTATATTAAATAAAATAATGTTTTTTTTGTATTTTTTTATAAATAAATATATAATAAATATATTTGTTTATTGAGTTTTTTATACAGATTTTTATAATAATAAGAAGATACTATCACAGATTATACAGATTATAAACTTTGTTTTTTCTTTATTGTTTTTCGTGGTTCCAATTTTCGGAATCGGGCACTAGTTAGGTTACTAGTTTGCGCACATAGCACGCCCACTTATGGCCTCTAAAATTGTGCACAGCGCCTGACCGGCACAGTTATTAGAGATATATCGGAAAACCAAATAGCGTCATGCAGTATTTACGCGTATCATAGTTACGATATGCGCGAGTCAATTTTTAACGCAACACCCGCTAATAACGTTACCGCCTGACGTAATTTACGGATCAATTACACCAAGCGCTATTTCTAAATAACGTTTAAAAATTGCTTAAATGGGCATGTGCGGGTATTTGACAACCGGGGCCGGCCGGCGAGATCTTTTATTTTAGGTTATGTTTGAATTGTTTTGAATTATTACTTTAGTTTTATTAGGTAATTTGATATTTAAGTAGCTGGGATTAGTTTTAATTAAATAAATATGGCCCAAAATATGGATTCCGCCTCTTCCAATATTAAAGAACCTATAAAGAGGCTTAGGTTTACATCAGATGACGACTTAGCCCTTCTAAAAGAATTTGTTGCTTGTTGCCCTAAACCCACTGGCAGACGTTGAACAATAAAGCACTGGAAATAAGCACTTTAGCCCTTTAGTTTTAAAATACCTAGTAAACGAAACAATTTCAAAGTTTTAAATTCAAAGTTAGGTTAAGTTTAAATAGCGGATGCGACGCGAACAGAATTCTTTCCGATCCGATAACTATAAATGAAGAGAGTTAATACCACCTCACGTAAAGGAAATAACACCTGGCCTTATTAACGTCCATGCACGCTATTCGGTTTAGCGATATATCTCTATTACGCTGTTTATTGTTATTTTACGCAAGTTTATAATTGCGCACAGGAAATTTTACTTGTTTGCACATCGTCATAAAAAACAATTTTTGTAACACGAATTAGGAATAAGATTTTTATCTGTATACATATAGTATACCTAATCTGTGATACTATGGAGTCATTGGAGTCTACCTATAAGTTATACCTGTTCAATCAAAACGTATCAGGTAAAACCCTTTGTGTAGACAAAAATCGGCCCTTTTTATTTGAACAGACTTAAGACAAAAGGCTAATTAAAAGAAAGAAAGAAAAATTAAGAATTAAGTCGTCAGTTGGGTAAACACTCAACCGTATTCCAGACAGAAATCTTCGCCATTCTACAATGTGCGAGAGAAAACAATAGAAGAGCTTATTCAGATAAGCTCATCAATATATGCTCAGACAGTCAGGCGGCACTTGGGGCGCTTATGAGCCCAAAGGTATCGTCGAGACTCGTCTGGGAATGCCTAGGTGAACTGGAAGCTCTGGCTCGACGGAACAGAATTAAATTATTCTGGGTGCCGGGCCACAGCGGCATCAAGGCAACGAAAAAGCCGATGAGCTAGCTAGGCAAGGATCATCGGCATCTTATCTTGGTCCAGAGCCAGTACTGGGAATACCCAAATGTATGGCCCGTAGTGCATTAAAACTCTGGATCAGGGAAAAGCAGAATGTCCACTGGAGAAACAGACAGGGGCACAGGCACAGCAAGGCTTTATCCAAGGACCTAGCTCCAAAACCGCAAAAGAACTGTTAATACTTAGCAGGAATAAATTGCGGATTACAACAGGCCTCTTGACAAGACATATGGCTGTCAAGTGTTACCTGAACAAGCTCAATCTGTATCAAGGAAGTCTTTGCTGCAGACTCTGCGATAAAGATCCTGAAACAGCGGAGCACATAATATGTCACTGCGAGGCTCTGGATCGCAAGCGATACTTTTTATTCGGGAAAGCTAGGCTAGAACCGGAAGAACTATGCTCTCATCCTATCAAGGACCTGCATAAGTTAGTGCAGGGCACAGGGATAGGAGAATGGGTGCAGATATAGAAAGGGGACAAACACAATAGGCCTCACAGGTCGCAGTGTTTCCGGCAGAGGACGGCCCCTTATTGTGGAAAAAAAAGTCGTCAGTTCTCAAGACGTCATAGTTCAGAGAAAAATTTTCAAGATCCGTATGAAAACACCATTCTTACAACTAAGATTTCTTTTTTACATAATATAACTTTTTAATCGCCAAATAAACGCTGGAATTTTGTACAACCTATAAGCGTAGTAGAAACTATAAGTACCTACCTAATTGATTAGTGAATTTGTGGGTTTCGCATACGGAGTGGCCCATCGAAAACGTTCCGCAAGGCATAACGGCTAGGGTATTCTTTTTTTCAAAAAATCCAAAAACACGTCAATTTTGTTTGTGAGGGGGACAACTTTTGCCCCAAAAATGATTGCAAAATCTTCAACCCTCTCAGCGGGGGCGCCATCCCCCAACTTTTTTCAAATGGGAAGGGGGATCAAGTGGCGCCGCAATGAAAAGAGCTTTCTATTCTCTATATTTCCCCGCCTCGTTTTTGAAAATCGGTCATTTTCTCCAGACACCGATATTAGTTTTCGTCTATCTCCTATAGAAAAGGGTGTTTCCATTTAAAAGCGTCGAATTTGACCCACCCTGTACACTTTTGAGCAAAAAAATTAGACTTTAATTAAAAAATCTTAATATTGCTAATAAATTTGATCTTGAACAAGCAATGGTAAAAATCATGATGAACACATCATGATATTTGTTATCTTAAAAACTACACTAGAATGCAAAAAAATGCAACGGAAATTTTTTTCGTCAAGTTCAAAGTGTTTATAGTTTTTGTACTTTTAGCCCTATTTTCATAATTTTTAGCAAACTGTATATAAATTTATCAACTTTAATTCATTAACTCAGTTTTTTATAAACTTTAGTATTTGGCTCTTTATACAGGGTTAATTGAAGGCTTATTTTTACCTTAACTTTAAAATACCGTGTCCAATAATTTTGCGAGTAACTTTTCCTAAAACCAAAACAGAACCATGTCTCCTGTTTTCACTTTTTCTGCAAGTGAGTACACCATAATAATTGTTAAAAAGTTTAACGATATTGAGAAGAAGTTCAACGCATAAGTCACAGAACAGCTATCTAGCAACTACCGCACCTGATCGTTCAACCTTATGGCAAGTGAAAAAATTCGTAAACATCTAGAAATAATAAGAAAAAACAGCAAATTGGTCGAAGGAATTTAGCCTTATCATTTACTCTGATAAATGTTTAAATAAACTTTTCAAATTTAAATCCTTTATAATTTCTCAATGACTCGACCGAATTTCAAAAACGAAGCCGAAAAATATAGAGAATAGAAAGCCCTTTTCATTGCGGTACCACTTGACCCCCCTTTCCATTTGAAAAAACTTGGCAAAAGTTGACGTGTTTTTGAATTTTCTGAAAAAAAATTACCCTGGCCGTTGCGGAACGTTTTCGATGGGCCACCCTGTATTTCCATAACATTCTTATGTATCTATTTATTTTTCTCAGATTTACCAATTTTGCTCGATGCTGCTTTGACCATGAATGTTGATTGTATAATGTTTACAGTAAGTCAATAAAATAAAGAGAAAATATAATTTAGAAATGACCAGAAAACTGATGATGTATTTTAATTTATAAGCAAATCCTCGTTTACTTACAATTAGCTTGCAAGGGTTTTCTGAGAAAAAGATTCAAATGTTGTGTTCAATTAAAGTTGAAGATGAAATCTCGAAATATTACAAAAAATTGTGTCCCAGGCTAATCTGATTGTCTTTAAAAACTAATATCTATTCAATACAATAACATAACAAAATAAAACACTAAATCACCACAGTACACCTAAACACTTTTACTTTTACAATGGACGCGCGTTTCGCTAACCATGTTAGCATCATCACCATATGATTAAAACTGAATAGTTTAGTAGTTTTTTAGTAAAAGTGTTTTGGGTGTATTGTGGTGATTTAGTGTTTTATTTTGCTGTGTAACAAAGGTTCCAACCCTCCAACTGTAATAACAAGAAGAGAAGCAAAATTTAATTATTATTATTTTTTGAAATTCTGGGCATACTTTTGGTAACATCTTGTGTATCAGCTAAAGATTTTTTTTTAATTTTTTTTATGTATTTGATCTAGAGATAATTATTTTTATATAGTTTAGGGTTTTATATAGGGATTTTTTTATAAACGTAAATTTTATAGTACAGGGTGTCACATTTATGTGTGTGTTTGACAGGGTTTCTCGTTTGAGTAGAGATACAAAGATGCGGATTTCTCATTACTTTGTGCTACTTTTTATGAAAATAAAGATGCTGCACACAAATTTGTCCTAACCTTTTTAGTTTCTGAAATACAGGACGAATTTGAAATTGTTGCATTTTTCGACACCCCTCGTATTTTGGTTATCTTATCGTAAAAGTGAAAAAGGTTGGTTGGGCTCTGGTGCACAATAGGTCCCCACGCATTTAACACTTTTTTGGGATTTTTTTGCAAGATTATCTTAAACTGAATATTTTTAAGCATAAAAATTGTTGGATGAATGTGTTTTATCTTTAAAAAGCGGCAAAAAAACGTATTTTAGGTACAGGCGACGGACAGTAAATATGTTAAATTTTCTACACGGATTCAGTAAAAAACATCACATATTAGTACTTTATTACCTTTTATATAGACGTGGAATGATCTAATTTAAGCACAAAATGTAACGAATCTTCTTTGTAAGCATAAAAATTAAGAAAAAATATATTTATTTACATCAGCTCAAGCTAGCAATTTTATGACTTTTCGATTGACAGTTAATCGATCATCGGTATGTCATCTATGGCCTTCTGCATAGAATTTGCAGGACGTTGTCAATAAAAATTACTTTATATGATTTTCTTCTGAAATAAAGTTGTTGTGGAGGGACTTAAAACGGTAAGTTA